CGATTTTAATGAAAACTAAGGCCATCAGGAGTTAATTTAGAGTTCCGAGAACTGGAAAATATCCCCCAAATTCCGGCAAATGGAGGCAAAAATGCTCAAAATCACAATGAACGTGAGGCAGTCTTGGCTACTCTTTCAGTCTTAAAATAAAGTGGGGCTATATTTTCGGCCTAGAAGCTTGACACCGAGCGTGCGCTCCTTTAACCTTTCCCCATTTCGCTGAAAACTAAGGCCATCAGGAGTTAGTTTTAAGGGTCCACAACTGGAAAATATCCCCCAACTTCCGGCAAATCGAGCCAGAGTTGCTCAAAATCACGATGCGCGTAAGGCGGTCTCGTCTACTCTTTGAGTCTTAAAATAAAGTGGGAATATATTTCGGCCTAGAAGGTTGACACCGAGCGTGCGCTCTTTTTGCCTGTGTCAATTTCACTAAAAACTAAGGCAATCACGAGTTAGATTAGAGTCCCCGGGACTGGAAAATATCCCCCAAGTTTCGTTAAAGGGAGCCAAAGTTGCTCAAAATCACGATGCGCGTAGGGCGGTCTCGGCTACTCTTTCAGTCTTAAAAAAAAGTGGGGCTATATTTCGGTGTAGAAGCTCGACACCGAGCGTGCGCTCCTTTTGCCTGTGTCCATTTCACTGAAAAGTAAGGCCATCACGAGTTAGTTTAGAGTCCCCAGGATATCAAAATGTCCCCCAAGTTTCGGCAAATCGAGCTAAAGTGGCTTAAAATCACGATGCACGTAAGGCGGTCTCGGCTACTCTTTCAGTCTTAAAATGAAGTGGGCTATATTTTTGTCTAGAAGCTTGACACTGGGCGTGCGCTCCTTTTAAGTGTGTCCATTGGACTTAAAACTAAGGGCATCAGAAGTTAGTTTAGAGTTCTCGGAACTCGAAAATATCCCTCAAGTTTTGGCACATCAAGCCAAAGTGGCTCAAAATCACGATGCGCTTAAGGCGGTCTCGTCTCCTCTTTCAGTCGTCAAATGATGTGGTTTACCTGTGGCCATTTCACTGAAAACTAAGGCCATCAGGAGTTAGTTTAGAGTCCCTGCAACTGGAAAATATCCCGTAAGTTTCGGCAAATCTAGCCAAAGTTGCTGAAAATCACCATGCACGAAAGGCGGTCTCGGCTACTCTTTTAATTTAAAGTAAAGAGGGGGTATATTTCGGCCTAAATCCTCAACACTGACCGTGCGCTCCTTTTACCTATGTCCATTTCTTTGAAAAGTAAGGCCATCAAAAATTAGTTTAGTGTCCCCAGTACTGGAAAATATCCCCTAAGTTTCGGCAAAATGAGCCGTGGTGGCTCAAAATGATGATGCGCGTAAGGCGGTTTCGTCTACCCTTTCAGTCTTAAAATGAGGTGGGCCTATATTTTAGCCTAGCAGCTCGACACCGAGCGTGCGCCCCTTTTACCTGTGTCCATTTCACTGAAAGCTAAGGCCATCAGGAGTTAGTTTAGATTCCCCACGACTGAAAAATATCCCCCAAGTTCCGGCAAATCCATTTAAAGTTGCTCAAAAAAACGATGCGCGTAAGGCGGTCTCGGCTACTCTTTCAGTCTTAAAATGAAGTGGGGCTATATTTCGGCCTAGAAGCTCTACACCGAGCGTGCGCTCCTTTTAACTGTGTATCATTCACTGAAAACTAAGGCCATCAGGAGTTAGTTTAGCGTCTCCGGGACTGGAAAATATCCCCCGAGTTTCGGAAAATCGAGCTATAGTGGCTCAAAATCACGATGCTCGTAAGGCGGTCTCGTCTACTTTTTCAGTCTTAAAATGCCGTGGGGCTATATTTCGGCTTACAAGCTCGACACCGAGCGTGCGCTCCTTTTACCTGTGTCCATTTCACTAAAAGCTAAGGCCATCAGGAGTTCCTTTAGAGTCCCCAGGACTAGAAAATATTGCCAAGTTTGGGCAAATCGAGCCATACTGGCTCAAAATCACGATGCGCGTAAGGCGGTTTGATCTACTCTTACTGTCTTAAAATGAAGTGGGGCTATTTTTCAGTCTAGAAGCTCGACACTGAGCGTGCGCTCCTTTTACCTGGGTCCATTTCACTGAAAACTAAGACCTTCAGGAGTTAGCTTAGAGTCCCCGGGTCTGAAAAATATCCCCCAAGTTTCGGCAAATCGAGGAAAAGTTGCTCAAAATCACGATGCGCGTAATGCGGTCTCGGCTACTTTTTCAGCCTTAAAATGAAGTGGGCTATATTTTGGCCTAGAAGCTCGACACCGAGCGTGCGCTCCTTTTGCCTCTGTCCATTTCACTTAAAACTAAGGCCATCAGGAGTTAGTTTAGAGTTCCCAGGACGGGAAAATATCTCCCCAAGTTTCGGCAAATCGAGCGAAAGTTGCTCAAAATCACGATGCGCGTAACGGGGACTCGGCTACTCTTACATTCTTAAAATGAAGTGGGGCTATTATTCGGCCTGAAAGCTCGACACCGAGCGTGCGCTCCTTTTACCTGTGTCCATTTTACTGAAATCTAAGGCCATCAGGAGTTAGTTTAGAGTCCCAGGGACTGGAAAAAATCCCCCAAGTTCCGCCGTATCGAGTTAAAGTTGCGCAAAATCACGATGCCCGTAAAGCGGTCTTGGCTACTCTTTTAGTGTTAAAATTAAGTGGGGCTATATTTCGGCCTAAAAGCTCGACACCGAGCGTGCGCTTCTTTTACTTGTGTCAACTTCGCTGAAAACTAAGGCCATCAGGAGTTAGCTTACAGTCGGCGAGACTGGAAAATATCCTGCAAGTTCCGGCGAATCCAGCCAAAGTTGATCAAAATTACGATGGGCGTAAGGTGGTCTCGGCTACTCTTTTAGTCCCAAAGTGAAGTGGCGCTATATTTCGGCCTAGAAGCTCGACACCGATCGTGCGATTCTTTTACCTGTGTCCATTTCACTGAAAACTAAGGCCATCAGGAGTTAGATTAGAGTCCGCGGGACTGGGAAATATCCCCTATGTTCCGGCAAATCGAGCCAAAGTTGCTCAAAATCACGATGCGCGCAACGCGGTCTCAGCTACTCTTTCAGGCTTAAAATGAAGTGGGGCTATATTTCGGCCTAGAAGCTGGAAACCGAGCGTGCGATCGTTTTACCTGTATCCATTTCTCTGCAAACCAAGGCCATCAGGAGTTAATTTAGTGTCCCCGTGACTGCAAAATATCCCCCAAGTTCCGGGAAGTCGAACGGAACTTGGTCAAAATCACGATACGCGCAAGGCGGTCTCAGCTACTCTTTCAGTCTTAAAGTGAAGTGGGCTTATATTTCAGCCCAGAAGCTCGAAAGTGATCGTTCAAAAAGGTTCGCTGTGTCATATTTCTCTGCAAACCAAGGCCATCAGGAGTTAGTTTAGAGTTCCCGGGACTGGAAAATATACCCCAAGTTCGGGGAAATTGGACTGAAGATGGTCAAAATCACGATGCGCGTAAGGCCGTCTCGGCTACTCTTTCAGTTTTAAAGTGAAGTGGGGCTATATCTTGGCCCAGAAGCTTGAAAGTGAGCGTTCAAAAAGTTTTGCTGTGTTCATTTCACTGCAAACCAAGGCCATCAGGAGTTAGTTTGGAGTCCCCGGGACTGGAAAATATACCCCAAGTTCCGGGAAATCGAGCTGAAGTTGGTCAAAATCACGATGCGCGTAAGGTCGTCTCGGCTACTCTTTCAGTTTTAAAGTGAAGTGGGGCTATATCTTGGCCTAGAAGCTGGGTGTTTAAAAGTGGGTGTTTAAAAAGTTTTGCTCTTTCCATTTCACTGCAAACCAAGGCCATTAGGAGTTAGTTTAGTGTCTCCGGGACTGGATAATATCTCCCAAGTTCCGGGATAACAAGGCGAATTGGGTCAAAATCACGATGCGGGTTAGGCGGTCTGGGCTACTCTATCAGTCTTAAACTGAGGTGGGGCTTTATTTCGGCCGAAAAGCTCTAAAGTGAGCGTTTAAAAAGTTTTGCTGTGTCCATTTCACTGCAAACCAAGATAATCAGGAGTTAGTTGAAATTCCCCGGGACTGGAAAATATCCCCCAAGTTTCGGGAAATCGAGCCGAAGTTGGTCAAAATCACGATCCTCGAAAGGCGGTCTCGGCTACTCTCTCAGTCTTTAAGTGAAGTGGGGGTACATTTCGGCCCAGAGGCTTGAAAGTAAGCGTTCAAAACGTTGTGCTGTGTCCATTTCACTGCAAACCAAGGCAATCAGGAGTTAGTTTAGAGTCCCCGGAACTAGAAAATATCCCCCAAGTTCC